GGTTGGGGACGTTTAGTTTTTAATTTCCATTTCAATGCAATGGGTTGTCGCCGGTCAAATTTCTACAAAAATAAGTATCAGTACTAAGTCGGATAACATTAATGTAACAGGGGTCAATTGTGTATCCTGACGGATTCTTTAATAAGCACATGGCACCTGCGGGTTCGTTTGATGATTTTATTGTTGGTATTATCAAGAGATAATATACTGTATATAATACCCTGTAAATATACATATAAATAATATTAGTACAGTTTTATATAATCAAAATGACAATTCTATAAACATAAAGTATTCATAAAATCACAATACATTGTACATTAATTCTTACAATGCATACTTTGAAAGAGTTATTCCCCTTTTCACAGCATTTTATAAAAATCTACATTTATACTTGTACAATTCATATATATTCCTTTGAAACATATATTGAAATGTTTAACATTCATTATTACAATCATTAAGTGAATTTTAAGTCCACTTCTTAATTAGGAATATATAAAAATGATAAGTACATTTGTAAAAATATGAAATGTACCTGTTTATGGAACAGAGTGCCTGGTAACTTTGATTTACATTACTCCAGGAACTGTATCATTGTTTAAACTGTAATAAAATAATTTCATTCACTCTCAACTCTTACACACTCAATATTTCCTTAATTTATTAATTTCAGATAAATTCACACACTTTGAAATATATTTCATTAATAAGAAGTAAATAAGTTACTTACATATTAGTAGCTGGTGACCAGGTCACATTTAAATCAAGTTAACTGTTTGTAAGATATTTAGAAATCTAAGTCTTTCCAGTCTGGAATCAATAAGCTGAATGTCTTTGTCTGTTGTCCAGAATTTGGAGGTAAAAGTCTTGACCAATAGGATTTAAGGATATTGAATTCTACTCAGGTAGCTTATTACAGGTGTAGAAATAGAAAAGGAGTGGATCTAAAGTTTTAGCTGATTGTTTATTTTATTTCATTTAGTTTGTCTTATTTAATTTTTAGAAAGTATTTTATTTGCTAAATTATTTTAATGAAAGGTTTCAATGTTTGAGTTTAAATTATTTGTTTGACACACAAATTTAATAATACATTCACTTCAGAGTTTAAAATCAGTTGTGGCATATTCATAATGTATAAGTAATAAATTATACATTTGAATATTATAATAATTAAAACAACATAAAACTAATCACTATTACATTAATATTTCTTTTGGATATTTTTTGTGTGTGTTCAGTATCGTTCCTGATATCAGCATTACCGGGTATTTTTTTTATCTTTTTTTCTTCTTAAATTCAGAAGCCAAAGAGAACAAAAGAATGCATCTTGAAGAAAATATTTTAATTTAAATATTGAAAACATAACTCCGGTTAATTGAATCAATATGAGCAAGTAAAACGCAAATGTTGTCTTACTCGGGACTTACAATCAATAATTCATTAATACAAAGATGAATTCATCTTATCTGATTTTCAAACCGAACAAATCGATTTTTGAAAGAATTTTTTCAAACAGTCCGCTTTTGAGTTATAAGGGTTCGGAGAGCAGTATGGCAACCACTATTGAAATAACGACCACTATTGAAATAATTATATCAATAGTGATTGAAAGTGTATTTCAATAGCAAACATAGTTAGTAACCACTAGTAATCAAAAGTGGTCATATTTCAATAGTGGTTACTAACTATGTTTGCTATTGAAATGCACTCTTAAACAGACTGAGATTTGTTTAATTTTTATGTAGCCCGCGTGGTGCAGTGGTTAGAGCGCCTGCCCTAGAGTCCAGAACTAAGGAGTCGAATCCCACTGTGGGATGTTTATACCGTATTAACAGACGTCCCGTGTCGCAGAAGGTGTTGGCACGAAGAAGATCACTCACTGCTCAATGACTCTGAGTGCCAAGTAAAGGACAAAATTTGTAGCTCTCCATCGGCATATGACATGGCGTCTCCACATGAGTAAAAACTTCTCGAGAACGCTAAACAACATATACGATCAATTTTTGAAAAGTATTGTATACAAATCACTTACCCAGTTTTCGATGGAGGTGGTCATTATGCCACGAAGGAGCGTAAAATCATATAAAATCCACATGTATCATTGAAACCAAACACTAAATGTTTTAATCATACGAACCAGTCCGACCAATTCTTAAGCTTACTTACATATGAATGATTTTTGAAAACTATGGTACAAATCATTTACCCCGTATAATACTGTTGATTATGTGCAGATACCCGATGGGCGTGGTAATTAATGACAACTCGGGAGCTCCACACCCTCATGTCATTATAACCACGCCCATCGGGTATCTGCACATAACCAACAGTATTATATGGGGTAACTACTACCTTTATTGTCGTTAATTTCACTATCAACTACACTCTCCATAATTTCATGTTCGCCGTGAAGTTCTTTACGAAAGTTATCTTCATCTGTCCGATTAGAAGGATTCTGGAAATCTTGGAATTCTCTTTTCCTGATCTTTTAAAAAGAAAACAACACATAATAAGTAATTTTGTTAAGGTCAGAGCCTCAAATGCAAATGTTTATTAGAAGACAGTAGATAGCAAATTACATGTACCTGTTCTGCAATTGGGTTCGTCTTTGTATGAAGATAATTAAGAATCCTGTTGCTATTGATCCACTTAATATACCAACAATAGTCGCTCCGACAAGATGTCCATACAAGAAGTCTATATAGATAAAAAAGCAATAACTTTTAAGATTAGATTAAGCCTACTTTTAAGTTATAAGCATTTAGAATTCAAAAGCAATTTTATCATTATTTCATCTAGACAGAGAGATTTGGAACAATGTTAGAGATCAGGTTTGTTCTTCAATATAATTTTATGCACCAATCATGTCAATATCTTTCTAAGATTTGAACATCATATCAAATTCAGAATTCGAAATATCTATTATGTCTTACTTCATTCTAGATTGTCGAGTTCACGAATATCAAGGAATTAAATGTTTTTTAAACATTTTTATAGTTCTCATTAAATCCTTATAAGTGTTTCTTGATAATGTAGGCCTAAGAATTGTCGTCATGATTATTTTTAATTTATCTGAATCCTCTCATAAAATATAAACATTTGTTAATTAATCTATATTGTGGTGAAATATAAAAATCAACGATTATGAAGTTTAATTTAACGCACTTAATGAAAGATACCTACGTGACAAGTTTGTGTGATCTACACAACAATTACTCACACAAAGCAAATTCTTTATATTTACATTTTACACATTTAAATAAACCAAAATACACTCAAAATTTGAATTTCTTGCTACCCTTTTTATAAACGTCGCTGGGTCCTCATTTTGACGTCATTAAAGCGCGAGTTTCTCTGCGTATATCACAATGCACTACACATGAGTATAGAAGAAAATGGCATTCAAAACAATTTCCAATGTAGTTTAAAAGAATCAAGTTTGAAATACCTGAACAGGTTTCTTCATCCCTTTCTGCAATTGATAGATGGTTAGAGTTCATGGAATTATTATTATCAATCTGGTTGCAATTGTACATATAATAACATATTTAATTTTAATCAAGCTGTAACTTAAGTATCACACTACATGATATGTTTCCCTTTTACCTCTGCACCATTCAATCTGTCGATAAATGTATGCTTGTGACACCACTACAAATCCACACAGCATGACAACAAAAGCAAACAAAACAATAAAAATTAAGTATTATTTTTGTAAAATATGTCGACTAGGTGTCCATAATGTCTTCGCATTTTTTGTAGGAGCATTTATCTTAATATCTAAAAATGAGAAAAAATCAGTTGAACGGAAATACATATAACTATAGGTTCCACGACATTACAGAAAAAGTCAGAGTTTAGGGGTCATGTATTGTTTTATTTATTTCTACAAAAACCGTTTTCACCTAATATATTCCATGAATAGATTTCTCAAAGATTTAAATAATAATAATATATATAAGAAAATGCAAACGTACCTTGTGTGACTCCCTTTTTTTTTTTACTTTTGACTTCATACCTTTCTTTTTATTCCCTTTACATACACACGGAGGCTTGAACCTTTTAAGGGAAAAAAATAACGTTTCCTTTAATTTTTAGTGCCTTCGTTCCCCCAGGAATCCTAAGTAATATATTTAACGACATAGTATGTGACAACTCCATGTTATTGCTATAAAATAAAACATTACTTTTCATAACCTAAATTGTGACTAGGGGTTTACGTGCTTTAATAAAACGAATATTTTTGATATATTTGATGCTAATATTAAAATTCATTCATTACAGATTTCTTCCTATGCACATTTTATTTCTCGGTGTTGAAATAATCATTCATATTTTATAAAGGGCTAAAGCATTTTAATATTAAATTAAGTGACAAGTGGATACAAATTTGTGTTGGCATTGATAATAATTTTATTTGTTGGCAAATTCCGGAAGTATTAGCTGACATATATCTTATATTGAATATTAAATATTTCACTATTATATTTGTTATATACACCTGTATCAAATGTCAAACTTTGTGACGGATATTGAATCGGTAGGATAAACACTTAAAAAAGAAAACACTTTATCACTATATCTTTTATTTTTGTTCTCTGTAATCTCAGAAGCAAATCAAATAGGGGTGAGGACGAAGGAAGAAAAATATTATTGATAAAAAAATTCAATAAAAATTTATTGTGAAATGTGATCAAGAAAACAGATTTTATTAAACAAGTAAAACTAGTATTTTTAATAACATTCATGTAGAGAAAAAGTAACATGGTTTGCATATTAATTTCCATTTAAATTCAAAATAGAAATATACAAGATAATCAAATAATTGCCAAGACACGGCAGTGATATTAAACAAAATGTAAACATCAAATGTCTTGCAATATAACGTAAGTTGTTGTAACATGCAGCAACATAATAAAATATAGGTAAGAAACTCAAACAAAAGTCTTTACAAAAAATCTTTGTAGCAAGAATAAATACAAGACGGGGGGGGGGGGTGGGGGGGGGGGCAACTGTAAGCAATATACTCTATTTGTCATCATATGTTATTCCATCAATGTAATTTCATCCGTTGGTGGTTTTCCAAAGCCTTTCAATTTTCTACCAGGATTTAATTACTGGAAAATCCATAATAACTTTGAGTATTTTTTTTAGTCTGCCTTAGCTTACAACATTTTATTTGAGTGCATACTTTTCATTGGTTATCTGCAAATTTAAAAATATTGTGTACAAAAAACACAATTGCTAAATTTGTGTTAAGCATACATGCTCATACAGATACTGTAGAATAAATTTGAAATGGATTAAATATCTACATAAAATCAAAATTCACCATGTACACATATAGGGTTATCCGTATTTGACAAAATGACAACGTTTGTGAAACGTAATATCCCAAGAGGTTCAAAACTGAGAGAAAAAATTACTGTACTTTTTCTAGTACAAAATATTCATCTGCTGCGGCTTTTTCACTTGATTTGTCCTTATCATCAATGGATTCACCATCCTCTGAACGTTTAACATTTCCATCGTTAACAACAGTCACAGTGCCGTATCCATGAGATGGTGTCGGTACATTTACCGACGATCCTTGCAATGGTTTCACGTGATCGTAGTACTCACTTCTATCCGCTGCATCTTGATTCGTTTCATTCAAGTGGCTGTACACACCATCATTGGTATCGGGGACTGTTTGACTCTTCTTAGTCGGTGTTTCATGAAACAGGGCTTTTGAATTTCCCTAAAAGATTGAGAAAACTATGATGTAAAGATCTCTGGATTAAACATATCGGTGTACCACTTTTAATGTTTCGGGATAAATGTTGACTTTGTAAAGCTTAACAAGTTAAATTTTGTAAGGTGATTTTTATCATGTGTATGAGTGTTATTTTCAAATGTTTCAATGATTTCTAAGGAATTGTAAAATATGCCAAAAAAAGCTTATAAAACATTTATCAAAAATTCTGCATCAGATGACAAAACAAGATACCTTTTCAATATTCAGAACTCCAAAATGAAATGAAAGTCTTGACTATAAATGACAAAAGTTGGAATCTTGATTAATAAAAAAAGACCCTATGATTTTAACAAGAACGGCTGTGGTGCAAAGATGAAAAAATTAATACATTATATACTATCGTGGGTATACTTTAATTGCAATCTTATAAAAATCAGAATTCTTAGTTCCACGCCGTATTTACTCTGCGTCTTGTCACACAGAGTGCATACGGCGTTGATCTAAGAAGTCTGACTTTAATTAGATTAACTTTGATTGGAATCTAGTGCCATGTTTGACAACAATTATTGGTACGAGATTTAATGTAGCTATTAGGTGATATGAAAACAACCAATAAGTATACCTTTAAACCCGGGTAAGTGAATACCCACCAAACATAAGAACCTTTTTGCAAGGGTGGCTTTTTACTCATTGAAGGAGGATAAGATATGGTGTCTTTTTGTATTGAAATGATTATGGAAAGAAATTAGCAAATTTATGGGTGACCGGGGTATCAAAATACTTTTTCCATAAAATAAATAAATTTAAGTTTAATTAAAAATGTATTATTGTAATCAAAAAGTGTCCTCACGAATGTGATTGATTGATTGATTGATTGTATACTGTTTAACGTCCCTCTCCAGAATATTTCACTGATATGGAGACGTCACCATTGCCGGTGTAAGGCTGCAAATTTAGGCCTATGCTCAGCACTTACGGCCTTTGAGCAGGGAGGGGTCTTTATTGTGCCACACCTGCTGTGACATGGGGCCTCGGTTTATACTGTCTCATCCAAAGGACCGCCCCATTTAATCGCCTTTTAATAGCAATGGGGTACTGAGGACCTATTCATACCCGGATCACCACGGGGCCTCTTGAATGTGAAAGTCTGATATATTGTATATATGTAGCTGTGTTTAATATTGGTCATTTTGTTTCATGTCTTAGGACAGGCAGATATTGACTAATCAACACTCTGACTTTTCTTCCATCTACATTCTTGGAGGACGTAAGTTTTTTTTTAAGTTTGTTATTTATCTCCTTTCACGCCGCCTCAGCCATTTTGTTTGTTGTTTAAATTTATGATTTAGCGTTTTAGACCCATTTTCCTGATTTTACTGTTAACTCTAAGTGGTAATTACTGAAAATTTGGAATATCTCCCTTTACAAAATTGGTTTATTTCTCATCTTTATATTAAGTGTTTTTTTTTTTAAATTATAGGTCATTTCTAATAATATTTTTGAGAATTTCAAACAAATTATTAAACGTCATAAAGTTGGCAACACACGACAAACTGTTTTACGGTCTTTTTACACATTGACGGAGGATAAGATAAGTGTTTTAGTGTTGAAAGGATAATGAAAAGAAATTAGCAAGTTGGTGAGTATCCGGGCTATCAAAATACTCATTGCATTAGAATAAATTCTATATTTTAGGATTACATTTACATTTTACATGGACTTTTGAGAACTGTTAACTTTAAGTTTGTTTCTTTTTAGTTTCTTAATTGACTCTCTTTGGTTCTTTTATCATCCTGTATATTTTGGACAATCGTTTTCACTAATTGGTTTGATTTACATCACATAGAACATCCGCCGCCCGTATGACGCAGTGTTCAGAGCATCTGCTCTAGAGTCGCAACGTAAGGAATTGATCCTTACGTCTTGGGTTCGAATCTGACTGTGGGACGTAGAAACCGGTCATTCGGATTAGAAGGTATAAACCGAGATCCCGTATCGCAGTAGGGGCTGGCACGAAAAAGACCCTTCCCTGCTCAATGTCCCTCAGTGCTGAGTACATGTATAGGACAAAATTTGACGCTATCCACCGGCAATTGATGGCGTCTCCATATGAGTGAAAAATTCTGGAGAGGGTCGTTAATCAATCAATCAATCAATCAATCAATCAAAGGACATTATGGCTTTCTTTGGAAAATTTATGATCAAGTAGCGTTTTACCTTTTTATCTTCAATTTCGCAGTATATTTCATTTCCACTATTACCATGACCCTGTCCCAATGGCTTTGAAAGGTAATGGTGAGTGTAATTTCGGATTTGATGAATCCCTTTTTCCTGCATTCTAATCGTAAAAAAAAAACAAAAATACAAGAATGATAAATAGAAACTAAATGGAACAAACATATATAATGCCAAACAAATCAGAGATACGGGTGTATTTAGTTTTTGTTTTGTTTTGTTTTGTTTATCCTTCTGACTACCCGGGTATGTCTAATAATAGGCTTATCTACATGTATCAGTCCATTTATCTTATCTTTCGCCGAAACTAATCCTACAACTTTTGATGTCAGTGCTTCCCTATTTCGTATTCCAAATGTATTCCTTCTGACAAGGTTTTGTTAAAGTACCAACATATTTGACCTCTTTGCCTTCATCTTGGGGATTGGGGTATTTTTGTAAGCTTGAATTATAACCAAAGCGCTAATGACAAGTGCAAAACTTTTATATGTACATGCGTATTCCATGCGCTACACTTTTCCTTAACTTCATTTTTCAATGTTCAAGTTTAATTTTCATTTTACACATAATACGGGCTGCATTTCAAAAACAAAATGAAATGTTTTGTTAAAATTAAAGTATAACATTGAATACAACTTTTGAACAAAATATGATGGAGCTCTTTTCATATCGCTTATGTACCTTGTAAATTAGCTTTCCTCGCCCTCTCTCTCACACAGTGGGAGAGAAAGTGATTGAAAAATTGACTGATAGACAAATGAAGATATTTTTTTAAAATAAATGGAATTGAAAACTTTGCACGTTAATGCTAAAACAAATTTCAACATATCTTTTTCTGTCTCTTTGTGATCTTCTGAGGAGATAAATGCAGACAAAGGATGTTACGATTGATCCAAATATCACTCCTCCTAAGGCGGTCCCCACATAGGCTAACGGTGAATCTGTATACCAGAACATAAAAAAGAAAAAAAGATCAGTCTTATGCTCTGTAATTTATTGTGAATTAATCGTGCCTTCTTTGAAAATTATTTCGCACATTTAATTTAGGATCATCTGTATGCATACAGTAAAGACCCACCTGTATTGTTATTCTGTATCATGATTGAAGATTCTTTACCTTAAAAATTTCATTAAGTACAAAGTTACGTGTTTTATATATAAAAATCAATCAATATATTATTATTATTATTATTATTATTATTATTATTATATATTTTGTAAACTGAAAATTGATATAAGAATAAATAACCATCGAAACGTTTCTTTAAGGACCGGGCATTCAGACCTTTAACAACCTATTTTTGTTGTTGCTGTCAACAAAAAGATATTCAACCATCAAATCTGTATACTCAAAAGACAATGAGCAATCAACATACGTGTAGCAATACTGAGTTTACTGATGCTATATTTTAGATGGACCCGCATCAGAATGAAGAAAAATGAGCGCAAAGGCTAAAATTCTGACAAAAGTCAAGCAGAATGAATCCTGATAAATAATTTGCTAAAGCTGGATCCAGATACACTGTACTTACAAAATCAATGTTTGAAAGTGTATAGAAAGACATTTTAAATCCATCTTAAAAGTGCTCCGTAACTTTGCTGCTTGAATTAACAAGAGGCCGAAGTACCTTTTAGGTCACCTGAGAATAATGCAACAACTTTCAAATGATTGAATATGGTTCATGTTTTAAGCTAGATGCTATGACATTCACAATTTTGAAAGATGCACCATTGCTTCAATATTCAGCAATAATCAGAAGTGCCCCTACCTCACATGAGCACCTGACCCTAGGCTAACACATTGCACAATGTTTGAAAAGACACCCTTGCTTCTCTAAAAATGTTTGATTAATACCCAGGAGTAGATTTCAAACATTCAAAAATTTCAGTATATAAGTAGCCACCCCCACCCCCACCCCCTGTAAGGTACCCCTGACCCTGGGGCCATGAAATTCACAATTTTGGAATAAGAACTCTTGCTTATCATAACTATGTATAGTTAGTTTATTTGATATCTAGGAGCAGAGAAGAAGATTTTCAAAGAATTAATGCATTTTCGGTTTACGAGGTACATTCAATAAATAATGTCATCGGTGCTCGGGAAGAAACAAAAAACGATTTTCGATGATTTAGTCTTAATGATTAAGCTAAAATATTCTCTTTAAATTAAAAAAAAACATGTCTGTAACATTTTTATTTAATTTCTAGGTGTGTTTAGAACACATTTCTGAGAATGACCCTTAGTATACTGGAATATTGCAGATCTTTTTGAAAGGTGTTTTTTTTTTTTTCAAGTTTGGGAAATGAAACAAGTCAAAGGTTTCAAGTGCTGGCTAATATTGTTGGTGTGACAATACATTATTTTTTTTACCCCGAAATACATTTACTCTTCATGGCCTGTAGGTTTAGACGCTGTCATGAATTAATTTAATTTATTGGATTCCTTATACTGGCTCCTTCCTGTTATAACCCTTTCACTTTTTTGCAAAAATTTTGCTTTTTAGACTCTTCCAGAAATTGAAATTACTCCCCAAGTAATAATCTAAGCAACAAACATTAATATTAAAGAAAATAGCATATAAATCTGTTTTTGTGCTCTAGCTATTCTTTGCTCTTTTCCGGGCTTTGCTTTTTTTGTCATGTGTATCTCATCGTAAATTCGTTTTGAAGGTTTAAAGCAAAATGGATTCAAGTTTTATTATCTGTTTGAATTTCAGACAAACATGGATAAGAACATTTTTTTAAAAATAATAATTGGCTAGATATTCCTACACGCTGTCGTTTTCACTTATTTTTCAAAATATTGGGTGACCTTTGAATATTAAACTTTTTTAACTATCAAATATTTCTTTTAAACAATGTGAACTACCCCCAAAATGATGTCGGTACCCATTTTTGATGTCCATTATATCATTTTTGTTTATTGAAATGCACCTGCTCATGTGTGTATAAAACAGACATTTGTTGCTGTAAATTTCACGTATTACCAATAATGACCAAAGTTCATTTAAAAAAAAGTTAATCAAACTAAAATGTAAAAATAAAAATAATATTTGATTTACTCGAGAAAAAAATGTTACAGTGAATAAACATGGGAAATATTATTTGATTTCATTAGTCCTAGCACCACTGTGCAAAAGTAATGGACAAGATTAAAGTTGTATTATTTTCAATTTGCAAACGTGTGTTACTTGAGTGACTCAGTTGACCTAAAAATGGTGATTGTAATGTACAAATTCTAAGTCTCTTCGGAGCCTAGGGTCCATTATTATTGTAGAATATGGTGCTAATTATTCATTAACCCCACCTTTACTGCACATACGTAAATGAAAGTAGATAAATAAAGTTTCTTCAATTTTGAAAAATCATCAAATCAAAACCAAAATAAAACTTAATTTGTCGAGCTGACTAACTTACAAATCAATATTAATTTTGATTGAAGAGTTTTTAAGACAGGCTGTGTACATTGTACATGTACAACTACAAGGGCTGTTCGAAAATGATTGAGACATCGTGTACATTTTTCTTTCTAATGAACGCCTGTCGCTGAAAATTTGCACATAGATTTCACAAACATTAAGAAATCATACAAATAAGGAATATTTCACTTTCGGTAAGTTTCGTCTCTTAAGTGGTATATAAACGCGTCATTGGTAGGGTACCCAGCGCAGTCACGAGATCAGATATTGAAAAAAATTTAACACCAAAGTTTTACCCTCGGTGGACCTTTAATAAGATTAAAAATAATTTAATTTATATGACTATATAATTTTTTTTAGTTAGTTTTATTTTGACTTTATATTGTGAAACTTTGTAAGAATTTCACCGAAATTTATCTTTTTATCCTTAAATAAAAAATTGTGTAGCATTGTTTCATTCGTTTTTTATAGAATGTTGACAAACTTTTCCTGAATTTATCTCTCTTCATGGAGTTGAAATAAGTGTCTCAATAATTTCTGAACAGCCCTTGTATTGTAAAATAATAATAATAATAATAATTTTCCTTTCAGTATATATATATATATATATATATCCAAAGTCTCTTTTTGTCAATACAATAAAAAACTTTAAAACACTTTTCGAAAAGTGTTTTAAAGTTTTTTATATATATATATATATATATATATATATATATATATATATATATATATATATATATATATATATATATATATATATATATATATATATATATATATATATATATATATACTGAAAGGAAAAAGAAACGCAGGGTAATATAATATTCGATAAATTTTTAACAGGATGACTGAAAATTACGAAAATTGATCAGATGAGAAATTTAGTTACTCTGCACCAAAATCAATGTTCAGAATTACTCAACCCTAAAATGTATCACGTTACGTAGGGAAAAACGCTAAAAAGGCCAAAACACGTGCAATCTGATGATGCCGAGTTTGCCTACATATCTTGTTGCACTATTTGATGCACCTGAGGTATGCACATCGTTTTTCAATATTTAGAGACAATATAAATTTCTTGCATCCTTGGTACAGTCTACGGAAGTTCCATGAGGTCTTGTTTTCGAATTGCCTAATAATTGAAAAGGGAAGCAACGGTTAACTAGGCAGTTTCTTGTAAATTTCCCCCCATAAAACTTGTTACCCGTTGTCAGAGAGGGCCTGGGATGGTTTTCAATCAACCGTGACGATGACGTTAATGCGAAACAAAGTCATATTACGTGCGGGCTACTCATCCTGCCATCTCTTAAATCGCCTCCTTACTACCACAAAAACCGTCCATTATACAGTAGACTATCATAATCAATACATTCACACGAAAAACGAAAGAAAACAATTCTGCAATTTGGTTTTTTGCGCCGGTTAACTTACTGTTGTAATCCTTTCACTGGTGCATGCGCGCGTCGTTTGACTAATTTTTTAGCGTGGTTACCCATGCCCAATATAGCCAGGGTTTGAAAGATAAACACTCTGATGAATTCCATGCAGAGGAGAAATAAGGCCCTGACAGTTGTGCAGGAGAAACATTGAAGATGATGAGAGATTTTGATTTTCACTTTTGGGGGGGATCGTCAAATGAGCTTCAATAACTCATGAATTATTGGACAAAATCAAATGGGATATTGGTTATATCTTTTTGAAAGAAGATTTTAAAAGTTAGATAGGAATACTGAAAATAATTTTTAAACAAGAGGCCCATGGGCCACATCGCTCACCTGAGCACTAAGGGTAGGAAAAAGAAGAAAATGGCTTTTTATTGTAAAGTTTAAATCCAAAAGTAGTCCCATGACCAATCATGGATTTGCTATTTCTTAGAAAATGATTTTTAAAGAATTTTCCTATATATATCTTTATAAACTTTGGTCAGCCATTTTGGCCCTGCCCTATCCCTGGGGGTCATGATTTGAACAAATTTGAATCTACACTACTTGAGCATGCTTACATATAAATATGATGAATTATGGATTTGTCATTCTTGAGAAGAAGATTTTTAAAGAATTTTCCTATATATTTCTATGTAAAACTTTGGTCGGACATTTTGGCCCCGCCCTACCCCGGGGGTCATGATTTGAACTAACTTGAATCTACATTACCTGAGCATGCTCCCATATGAATATGATGAATTATGGCTTTGTCATTCTTGAGAAGAAGACTTTTAAAGAATTTTCCTATATATTTCTATGTAAAACTTTGGTCGGCCATTTTGGCCCCGCTCTACCCCCGGGGGTCATGAATTGAACAAACTTGAAACTACACTACCTGAGCATGCTTCCATATATATATGAAGAATGATGGCTTTGTAATTCTTGAGAAGAAGATTTTTAAAGAATTTTCCTATATATTTCTATGTAAAACTTTGGTCGGCCATTTTGGCCCCGCCCTACCCCCGGGGGTCTTGATTTGAACAAAATTGAATCTACACTACATGAGCATGCTTCCATATAAATATGATGAATTATGGCTTTGTCATTCTTGAGAAGAAGATTGTTAAAGAATTTTCCTATATATTTCTATGTAAATATTTGGTCGGCCATTTTGGCCCCGCCCTACCCCCGGGGGTCATGATTTGAACAAACTTGAATCTACACTACCTGAGGATGTTTCCCCATAAGTTTCATCTTTCCTGGCACAGTGG